CCTAAATTCAATCTCGAGCGCACACGATGCTCGCTTTGCTCTCAACGGGCGCCGGGAAGATCCCGCGCTCTGTGTTTATCCATCAGCGCCAATGCTCCCGGGCCCTCGTTCTCGCCTCGACATCAGCGACCATCTCTTTCCCGTGTTCGGTTTCTAACAAGGCAGCATATTCGGATGGAAGGGACGTCGAGCTGCGGACGGTTGCAACGAACCAATTGTTCCGCACCCACGATTCGTGCGTCTGGCGTTCGGGAAGGCACTCAACCGAGGGGGTGGGAAACCAAATGTGCGGACTGAGCCGCAGCCACAGCGTCTCGCTGATGAAGACGCAGCGCTTGAGGGTCGGCGAGCGATTGCCCCACCGACGTACCATTTGGAACTCGTTCTCCAACGTGCTATCTTGGACGGAATGGTGATCGTCCGGGTTCAGCTCATAAAAGCGGAGGTATACCAGGTGGCGGAGTCCAGTGAGGGCATCGTCCACACGAGCAAGGACCGTCTGATCGGGGAACGAGAGTGAATGGGGAGCTCGTTGGCATCGAGGTGACGACTCACTTCCACATCTCCTAGGTTGTATATGGGACCGAAATTATCGAAGGATAGCTCCGTGACTTTGGGAGCATTCGCCGCAATGGTAGTCAGGAGCGCGGGATCCCAGTAACTGATCGAGTTATAGACGGAAAGAAGCTCTGCACCGGAGTGCAAGATAGCCTCATACACGGCGGATGCTGGAGCTTTGCGCTGAGGGTTCCAGTAGACGGAGATGGATGACAAACTGGAGTCGACAAGGGCTTCTGCAACGGTGTCTGGTCCGCCGAAGAATGTAAGATGCGGTAACGAGAGCGGTGGGATAGGTAGTTCATAGATTTTAGGATCGTGTGTCAAAGTTTGGACCATCAGTTCCTCGAGATTCGGGTGGAGCTGAAGGAAACGCGTGGTGTCACGGGAAAAGGGGATTAAGGCTCCCCGAAGGCGTGGAAAATGTATCTCGGTGAGAAAGCCAAGGATTTCGGGAGACCTTGGAATGTTAATTTCCGATAGGGCGACAAGGTTGCGCATTGCAGCCACAAATGTGCAGGAGAAGGCTTCCTGCGTGTCTATTTGGCGGAAACGTCTGGAGACACAAATATCAGCGGGGGATCGGGGAGGTTTCATTAACGCAGGATGTAATACAGAGTTAGGTTCCTAACGGATTGAGCACATTGGAGATTGGAAATCAAATATTTGAAGCACTTCATAGCTCGTTCGCTGTCCTCGAGCGTGATATTGGCATACATCCGACGAATACAGATATTATTGAGTTGCCGGCTCGTAAGAGCGAGTGAGATGAGATCTCGGCTCTCGACTTTCCCAGAGATCCTGTCGATGAGTTCCACTGGAAGTCGAGGTAGAGATACGCCGGCGCTCATAAGAACTCGTGGTGAGCGGAAGTGAAAAGATGTGTCACGCTCACAAAATCACGCTCGGCAACGTTTTATGATCGACGTCGATTCGAAAATTCGGCCAGATTAACCGTTCTTTAGGTAAATGGCTACTCGCTGTGCTATTTCCATGAAGATGTCCGATCACTTTCCTTGTGTCCTCCCCCAACCACACATCATGTCTCGCACTCCTCCCTGCGCGTATAAAGCCAATATAAAGCGCTTCAGCTGGCACTGTCGGCTGGCACTGTCGGGGGTCTACTGCCTTTTGGTAAACTCCGAATACTGTAGTATTTCATTCAATTCAGCAGGTGTTGTGACCGAAAAAATCCTTCCCCGACTCCACCACAAAACGCACCACCGCTCCTGACTCCGAATCTTCTCTCCCGCCCCTCCCTCGCTCTGAAGAGTCATCCGTATCAACTCTGCCGCAACAAGACACCGCCGTCTCGAACGCGCTTAGCACGACTGTCCACACGGGACACTCTTCGTCAGTGATCTCGCCTTCCACGACGTCAGGGCTGATAGCATCGCTTCTTCTCATACAGAATCGCCGCAACTCGTGCAGTCTCCCGAGTCGATTGATTCCAGTATCCCCGCCTGACATCAGGCGTGCTCTCCTCGCATCCGGGTGTAGCGTCGCAGCCAGAGCACCTGCACCCTGCCCACACTTCCAGCGCCCCGAGCCCAACCTCGGGCCTCTTCTCCTCGCACCCCGGCGTCGCCACCAAGCATGAGCACCTGCACCCCGCGCACCACACCGCTTCTGCCTCCTCCACCGCATCCTCTTTCGCTTCGCCTCCGCCCGCGCCCCGCCCAACCGCCGGCCTCTACTCGTCCCACCCCGGCGTAGCCACCAAGCCTGAGCACCTCCACCCCGCGCATCACACCAACACCACCACCACACACCTCCCCACGCACATCGTGCACCGCGTGATGCATCCGACTGCGCATCCGCATCCCACGCCGCACGCCGTTCCCCAATCTTCGGGCGCGTCGACGCCCTCGTTCGTCCCCTCCACGGGCGGCGACAGCGGGTACGCCGCGTCGACGGTGACGGAGGTCGGGACGCCGGCGGAGGCTGCGGGTGTAGGACAACAAGGCAGCGCAGCGCTTAATTCATCGCGCCTCGCTGACACTGTGCCGACCGGCGACGTCGCCGCGCCGTCTGCGTTGAGTCCCGTCGGCCGCCCAGGTCCGGGTGTCGGCGTACAGGGCAGCGCAGCGCTTAATTCCTCGCGCCTCGCTGACACCGTGCCGACCGGCGATGTAGCCGCGCCGTCTGCGTTGAGTCCCGTCGGCGGCCCAGGTCCAGGTGTCGGCGTACAGGGCAGCGCGGCGCTCAACTCCTCCAGGCTAGCCGACACGGTGTCCACGGGCGGGGGGGACGTGACCCCGGGGGCGGAGGCGGACGTCGACGAGCCTGAGCCTGTGTCCGAGTCTGGGAGCGGGGGGGCCGACGATACCGCGAGAGCGGGAGGCTCGAATGGGGATTGGGATGGAGACGGGAGTGGGAAAGAGAAGAAGAAGGAGAAGAGCAAGAAGTCGAACCTGATCCAGCGGTTTAAGGAGAAGATGCATGTTGGGGGTGGGGGTCTTCGTCGTAGGCGGTTGGGATGTAGGCGTGTCATATTGTATCATGGTGTGATAATTTCTGTGAACTTGGCCGGCGTGTATTCAATATTCAATCCTCTTTCTTCGGCCTCGTCAGCGGTTTAAATTTCAAAGCCAGGCTCCCAACAAAAAGAAGAAAAATTCATAATCAGCACAATATTCGGACGCTGAGAGTCGAACTCAGGCCTCTTGCTGCAGCAGAAACGGTGGTGATCCACCGAAGGCAAGCGTGCACCGTGCACCTCATCCGAGTTATTCGCTTGTGGATGTACTTGACTATTATCAGAAACTGCCTACTCGGCCACCTTAGCATTTTCGACGTCGTGCACGCATGTCAAGTAGACTAGATACATGTTTATGGACTCTCAAACGAAGGCATGCATCCTGGGAGTGAGTTGAGATATTTCCCGCGAATTTACGCGATGATTTCATAGCCTGCCGAATTTCTTTTCTGGCGGTACCCCAAAATGGAAAAAAACTGCCTAGTCGGCCACCTTGCAAAACCGTCCGTTCCGCCTCATACCGACCATCTCAGTGTATCCCATATCATCGAGGACATAAAATTACATGATTCTAGACACTCAAGATGTACATCTGAGGTATATGAAGACGATAAATATTTCACTTTTTAAGTCACCGGGATGGGTGAAAATGTGATCCGGGCGGAATGGCATAGATTACAAACTACAGAGGGTATCGAGGTGTCGGATGAAGATATATCTGACTCCAAGGAATGATTTAGGACGTACCTATTCGCCAGGGATGCCACCCACTTGCGAAAAACCACCCGCAAAAAGTTCACTTGTCCGCGCAACTGAATTTCGGTGGTTTTCGGTGGTTTGCGGTAGTGCTCCGCCGTTACCAAGAAATCCGGAATTGAAAATGCTGAGCAACCTGCAATAATACAGAATAGACTATCCCGAATGCATTCATCAAGTTCGATGTCCGTAGTAGCCTTATGTTGCTCGCTGTAGAGGCGGCCGGTGTGTGGAACTTAAGCTCAGGCGGAAGATCTCTTGCAGGACACACGATACGACGAAGGTTTATTTAGGTATATTACATGAGAATGGGACATTAAAAAAAACCAAGAGAAAAGAACGAACCCAGAAACTCCCCAACCCGTGCGGAATTGGTGGAGAAATAAGGAAAAGACGAGCTGACAGGTCCTTCGGAGATAAGAAATGATGCTCACACGCCACCATCTTGACAGAAAACCTCCCACAGTTCCTGATCGCCACATCGGTTGGCCTTCAAATTTGATGTACGACATCCTTATAACTCGTACGCCATCCCACGGGCACCAAATCTCAAAATTATGCACTGCAACGGCTTATATTATGCAAGTGGCCGACTAGCTAGTTTGGCCGACTAGGCAGTCGCTGATAATATGTATATCGGAGACGAATAAAACTCAACAGGCGCCTGCCAGTGCGAATTCGAACATCGGCAGGAAGTGAAAAGTGGTTCAAGGAGAGGATTGGATTGGCGGGTCATGACTTCTTCGTAGGTGGTGCGCGCGGCGCGCGTTTGGATGAACGTTCCACGAATACTGAAAGCAAAAAGTGACATTGATTCGGACCTGACCACTCGAATGCTGAGAGTCGAACTCAGATTTTCCTGCCGTAAGCAATTCTTGCACACCAAGAGACAACTATAAGCAGGCGTGCACCGCGCACCACGTCCGATTTTTTTATATGTGTGTGACATGTGTTCGGGACCGCACTTTGAGATAAAATTCAACATGCGCGAGCTACCGGCGTTGGGAAGGGCAAGGAGGATTGAACGAAGGGTAAGAGTAAATACTAGAAGGTCGAACCTGATCCAGCCCAAGTTCAAGGAGGAGATGAGATGGGTCTTCTCCTCCGCAGGTGGTGCGCGCGTGGATGAACATTCCACCTCTGTGTTGAATAATGCCAATGATTCAAAGCTAAACTTGCAGCAAAAAAAAACGTCTTTTACCGACTACTCGAACGCTGAGAGTCGAACTCAGATTGTCCTGCCGTAAGTAATTCTTGGAGACTAAGTCCGACAACTATAAGCAGGCGTGCACCGCGCACCACGTCCGATGTTTTATTTGTGGGGTTACCTCGAATGAAGACGGGAAAGATAAAGAGAAGAAAAAGGATAAGAGCAAGAAATCAAACCTGAAGGAGAAGATGTATGCTGGGGGTGGGGGGGCTGCGTTGTAAGTATTATCTGTGACTGGGTGCTGGGCCACCTTAGCAATTTTGACCTCGAGTCCACGCATAAAGTGGCGTGGATACAGGTATATGGGCTTTGGAACTAAGGTATACATCCTGTGGGTGAAACGAGATATTTTTTGCGAATTAACACGAAGGTTTCATGGCCTACCGAATTTTTCTTCGGGGGGGTACCACAAAATTGCAAAAACGGGGTAGTGGGCCACCGAGCCAAATCATTTGTTCACACCCATAATATTTACCCCAGTGTATCTCAAATCGTTCAATGGATACAGATACACTATTCTATGCGCTTAAACTTGGAATCTGAGATGTATGGGGCCGTAACTATTTGCCTTTCCAGCCATCGGGGATGGGGGAAATTGCGCTCCGGCCAGAATGGGTTCCCCTCTAAAGCACAGAGCGTAAGGAAGCCTTAAATTAAGACACAGATGGCTCCAGGGGAAGTATTAGGACATATCTGAATGCAATGGATGACCACCACATACCCATAACCCATCCAACAAAATGCATCTTTTTGCGCAACTGAAATTCAGTGGTTTAGGGTAGTAGCCCAGCGTGAACGGGAAGTCGCGCAGTTAAAAGTCAAATAAATGTAGGAGAATACTCTATTAAATATATTGAATGCAAAAACCGAGTTCCAAGTCCACAGCCAAGACGGGTCGATCGCTATAGAGGTGGCCGGATTATGTCACTCGGGATCAGGTCGAGATAATCTTGAATGTTCCTAGAGGCGAAGAAGAATCGTTTTCACATATCCTATGGTCTGAGGGGATTGCCTTGAATCAAGGGGTGCTAACGAGCCCTAAAACTTTTGAATCGGCGAAGAATTGGTGGAGAAACCAGCCAAAGACAAGCCCGAAGGCCGTTCGGAGATAAGAAATGATGTTCCCACCCCGGCATCTCGCTCGAGAACCTGTCGTAACTTTTGATCGCTGCATCACTCCGCCTCGAAATTTGACATACAGCGTGGCGATAAGTCATATTACATCCTATGAGCACCAAATCCAGAGATTTTGCATCACAGCACTTTCTATTATGCAAGTGGCCCACTACCTAGTTTGGCCCACTAGGCAGTCGCTAATAATAGGTGGTTGGAATGTAGGCGTGTCATATTGTATCATGGTGTAATAATTTCTGTAAACTTGGCTCGCGTGTATTCAATCAATCCTCTTTCTTCGGCCTCGTCAGCGATTTGCATTTCAAAGCCAGACTCCCAACAAAAGGGGAAAAAATTCGCAATGATCACACAAGACTCGGACGCCGAGAGTCGAACTCAGGCCTCTTGCGCAACCGGGGCGGCATTGATTCACCGAAGGCAAGCGTGCACCGTGCACCTCATCCGAGTTATTCGCTTGTGGATGTACTTGACTATGTATATCGGAGATTACTAAAACTCAACAGGCGCCTGCCAGTGCGAATTCGAACAGCGCCGGGACGTGAACGCTGGAAAGTGGATCCTGATTCCGGCCGCCGGCGGTTCAAGGAGAGGATTGGATTGGCGAGTCATGACTTCATTCTTCGTAGGTGGTGCGCGCGGCGCGCGTTTGGATGAACGTTCCGCGAATACTGAGAGAAAAAAGTGGCAGCCGTTCAAACCACTCGGACGCTGAGAGTCGAACTCATTGACAGAATTCCCACACCAGTGGCAGTAGAAAGCCATACTTACTGTAAGGAAGCGTGCACCGTGCACCACGTCTGATTTATTCTCCGATATGTGTCCTTGGGTACATCCGATCCCATTTAGAGGAATAAAATTTATTGAACATGGGCAAGCGAACGGCGCTGGGAAGGAGAAAAAAGTGGAACCTGAATTGATCCATCTGTTCAAGCAGAGAAAATTTGTATGCTGGCGGGTCTTTGTGGTTCAGGTGAATAATGTTTCAAAGCCGGACTCCCAATAAAAGGGATATTAGAGACCCACTCGGACGCTGAGAGTCGAACTCAAAGTGCTTGGAGTAGCAACTGTAGGCAAGCGTGCACCGTGCACCTCATCCGATTTATTTCTCTGGGTGTGTACTGGGGTATATTGGACCCCATTCAGAGGGTTAAAACTCAACCTATCGAAGCGAACAACGCAGAGGAAGAGCAAACAGTCGAAGGTCAAGGAGAAGATGCATGTTGGGGGTCTGCTTCAAGTTCGTCGTAGGTGGTTGAAATGGATTAATGAATGAGCGGTGCGTGTATCATGGTGTAATTTCTGTAATCTCAGTAAACCTGTGGCTGGCTGGCGTGTATTCTGTATTGATTCTTCTTTGTCCAATCTTGCCTCTGTACCCTTAGTGAGTGAATCTGCCGATAATAAAGCAGAGCAAAGCCAAATTTTGAGGAAGAAAAAAATGGAGATTCACCCTAGTCGGACGCTGAGAGTCGAACTCAGATTTACCTGCCGTAAGTAATTTCTGGAGTCAGATAACTATAAGCAGGCGTGCACCGCGCACCACGTCCGATGTTTTATTTGTGGGGTTACCTCGAATGAAGACGGGAAAGATAAAGAGAAGAAAAAGGATAAGAGCAAGAAATCGAACCTGATCCAGCGGTTCAAGGAGAAGATGCATGTTGGGGGTGGGGGGTCTTCTTCGTAAGTAGGTCGTTGGGATGGATGGATTAATGAATGAATAAGCGGTGCGTGTATTATGGTGTAATCTCTGTAGTCTGTGTAACCCTGTTGCTGGCTGGCGTGTATTGTGTATTGATTCTTCTTCCTTGTTCAATCTTGCCTCGGTAACCTTCATGAATCTGCCGATGATGAGGCAGAGCAAAGCCAAACTTGTAACAAAAAAGCGGAAATTCACCCCAAGTCGGACGCTGAGAGTCGAACTCAGATTGTCCTGCCGTAAGCAATTCTTGGACAGCAAGAGACAACTATAAGCAGGCGTGCACCGCGCACCACATCCGATTTATTCCCTGATACGTGTACTTGGGTAGATCCGATCCCTTTGAGAGGAATTTCCACAGGCGCAACCGAACGGCGCTGGGAAGGAGTAAAAGGTTGAACCTGAATTGATCTAGCCGTTCAAGCAGAGAAAAGTATGCCCGCGGCTCTTCGTGGTTCTGGTCAATAATATTTCAAGGGCGGACTCTCAATAAAAAGGACTCCATATACACGCTACTCGGACGCTGAGGGTCGAACTCAGAGCTCCCACTCAAAGTACGGGGAGTAGGAACTGTAGGCAAGCGTGCACCGTGTACCTCGTCCGATTTATTTCTCTGGGTGTGGATGAACATTCCGCCTCCGCGTTGAATCATGATTCAAAGCCAAACTTCCAACAAAAATGCGAAGTTTTTCAAGTTGGTCGCCGACTCGGACGCTGAGAGTCGAACTCAGATTTCCTGCTTGAATTCCTAACAAGCAGGTGATCGACGATAAGCAGGCGTGCACCATGCACCACGTCCAATTTATTCCCCGGTAGATGTACTTGGGTATATCGAACCCCATTCAGAGGAATAAAATTCAACATGCGCAACCGAACGGGGCTGGGAAGGAGAAAAAGCAGAGTAAAAAGTCGAGCCTGATCCAGATTCCAGCCCTTGAAGGTGAAGATTCAGATGCATGTTGGGGGGGTGTTCTTCGTAGGTGGTTCGCGCGCGGTTGGATGAACGTTCGCGCGTCGGCAGTGAAAATTAATATCACAGTTTCAAAGCTAGACTTCCCCCAAAAAAATGGATGTGAGTATCTGTGGCCACTGGGACGCCAAGAATCGAACCCATACTTCGTACAACAGCATGAATGAAACAATCGAATGGTAACTGTAAGCAGGCGTGCACCGTGCACCACGTCCGGGTTATTCTCTGGGACATACGGGTAATTTAAAAATATGTGAGGCTTTGAGTCGGATTGAATGAAGGAGGATTCGGCACGCGAAGCAAAGAATTCGGACAGGTTTGATTTCAACTCCCACCTAGTGACTTTGCTCTTGCCAACGGACTCCGAGACGCGGCGGGGTTCTTGTTGTTTGAGATGCGTACCAGCGCCGTCAGGTCTGCAGTCCCGATGTTGACTGAACATGGGTGCGATATAAGTACTTTCAGCGGTTTATAAAGGATTCAAAAAGGAAAAAAAACCACTCTCAAGACTCATTCACGAATTTCGAACGCTGAGATTCGTACTCGGGCCTCCTGCTACAGCACGTAGAGCATTGGCTGCTGTGAGCAAGCGTGCACCACGCACTTCATCTGAGTTATTCTCTGGTATGTGTACTGGGGTATATCGGATCCCATTGAGAAGAGTAAAATGCAACGTGCGTAAGCGAACGGCGCGGGGAGGGACAAAGAGTCGAAACTGATCCGGCCGCCGGCAGTTTAAGGAGATTCAGAAGATGCGATGCCTTCAGCCCATTCCGACGGGACCCAACTCGAAGACAACCTTACCTGCGCAAAAGATGGAACTTTATGAGTGTGTAGTTGGGTATATCGGACTCCATGAGAGGAATAAACCCAACATGTGCAAGCGAACGACGCGGGGAAGGAAAAAAAAGCGTAAAACGTCGAAGTCCAAGGAGAAGGTGCATGTTGGCGGTGTTCTTCTTCGTAGATGGTGCTCCGAGTTATTTTCTGGTACATACATGTACTTTAAAATATGCGGGCTTTGAATGAATGAAGGAGGATTCGGCACGGAAAGCCAAGAATTCAGGCAGATTAGATTTCAACTCACGCGCAGTTGAGTGACAAGTTGCTCTTGCGATTTATTCTCCGAGACATCTTGGGAGTTGAGTGAGAAGCTTACCAGCGCCCTTAAATTAGTCTACACACCTAATGTTCGTTCACTGGGTGTGCCCGTGGGTGTGATATCCTGTTCAGCGGTTCAAGCAGAAAGACGACTGGCACAACAAGCTAATATCTTACTTTATCTCTACTCATAGTTC